AATGGACGCGTCCGGGGAGGCCACTAGCAGTCGCGTCCATTATAACTCTCAAGGGTGTGCCGAAGGCGCGTTCACCCAAAAGGGCAAGGGAGAGCCGGCCCCTTCGGGGAATTTGGCCTCGTGGTTCCTTGTATCCGGGAGGCCGACGCCATTGGTGACGACGACTCCCACGGCCTGCTTGAAGCTAGGCCTGGATAGGGATAGAGGGAACCCAATGGTTCCCACAATTTTCATCGATGCCAATCAGCCCCTTACCTCGAGCAACGGCCCTCCAATCATACCGTTCCGGTATGTCGGCTGCACTGTATACTACTCTCGACATATACGCTAACACAGATGTCTGCACAGTTCTGGAGCTCGCTCGCGCACCGCGTTATCTACGTCCTAAACGACTTCGCGCGGATCCCCGCCGAATCAGCGGCGTGTACCGTATGCCCTCTGTCGGGGATGGCGGCCGAAATGATCCACTTAAAAACCGCCCGCTTTCCTCTTCATTTCCATCGGCATGCGCGTTGACCGCGCACCGTATACCGTCCGCCTCCGCTATCTGCTAGGCCTAATTCCGCTGGACTCGGGGATCGGCCCCTCGCCCTTTGTCCTACTTTGTCTGGAACAATACGGTGGGAGACGCCGTGCAGCCGCTGACAGCCAGCGTCTGCCGGCGGCCGACCGTAGGATTGATGGCCCTGGTGTGCGTACACAACAACGCCCGACCAGCGTGGCCGTTGCCGCTAACCCGCGTATTAGCGTCGCCAAGAGACTCGCAATAAGTAGAGCACAGACAGTTCGCGATGCCTTGCTCCTGTTCGGGGTGGGAGGAGCCTGATGTGGTGTGTACGCGATACCCGTCGTTGATTGGTGCGCGAACCACGCCCCGTTTTGATATGGAAAAACAGGGTCGTCCCAGGCTCGCATTTTGCGTCGGCCGGTAACCGGTATACACTTAATAGCCGCGAGGAGTTGGGAAAGACGCCGTTCGCATATTCGAGTCTTGAGGTGGGGGGTTCTCTGAACACTCGCTGCCCCAGGCGTTTGCATGGGCACGTAGTGCGCCTGGGCGCCATTAAAACAACGACAACTGTCCGTGTAACGGACTCGGGCGATGTAACAGATAGAATGTTGCAACAATTGTTCTCGGGTCGTTACATGGCGCGCGAGCGACCGGTGAGGCCGTGACCTCCGCAGTCGACGGGTCCCCAACTGCGAAGGGACCTCATCTCTACACGTCACTAACACCTTAAGAAACACCGGGCGTAGCGGGCCCCGTGCATCTGATTATCGTTCCGCAGACAATAATATTGCGGCATTAGCTTATAAGAACTCAGACGGACCAATCACAAAGCGTTGGCAAGACGAGCTCCCTCAACACAGCCGAGAGCAAAATGGAACACATCTTCCCGCCCCTTAGGTATTAGAGCACATTTCTGTCTAAGCCCCGCATTGAGCTTTTGAATTCTGATGATTGGGCTTTATATAAATTGTGACAATGGAGCACCAGAAGTTATTCGACCGAGGATTTCTAGGGTCGCATCCTGTGGAAATCGCTCAGTTCTGCTCGCCTGCGAAGCTGCATCCTGCCTCCGTGTACTGGCTCTGGAGCAATCTTCAAATTCAATCAGTGTTGTGCAGAAGTTTGCACAAGGGCGATAGCTTATAATATACTGGTACTAGGCAGTATAGGCAACGCCGTCGACAACAACATGGTCAAAACTGAGACGGGATGTTTTCCTTGCAAACAGGTAAACAAACAAAACAGCACGTCCGCTCTTTTTTCGTCCTGGAACAACCGTCAACCACGCCATCTCCAAGAGAATAACACCGAAAGAGAAACCCGCTGCGGAGCGAAACGACACCACCATCAAAAGATGGCGCCCGCTACCGCGTACAGCACGTGTATGCCGTGTACAGACGCCCGCATGCATGGCCGTGTCAAGATCCGTATCGAGGAGGCGCCGCCATTTCAGCACCGCACGTCTTCTGGAGTCGGTCTCTGAACGCGCAGCGAGATGACCCCGGCTGTTTTGTGCAGCAAACGGCAGGTGCCGCGCTAACGATCCGATAATAACAGCGTGCTGACCGAAAGCTCGCTCGTTCCGCGGTTTTCGCCTGCCTTCTGCCTTCTCGCTGAAGACTGTCTGGTACCGGCCTGGTGGTAGATAAAGGAGGAGCCTCCTGGTGCAGCGCGTAATGCCTCTAGATGCGGTAGGGCGATAAGTGCCTCGCAAACCGCATCACACCGAAACCAGCGGCAACACTTTGTTGTGGTGGGCTCCCTAAAGTATACCTGTTCCGTCTTCTCTTCCTATTGTTCTGGTCTTTTGTTCGTCTTAAGCTCCTACCTATCGCTAGTGTTTCTTTGTGTCTAATACGTTTTGTGCCTCAATGTTTTTTTGTTTTTTTTACACTGTTTGGTTTTACGGTTTTCATAATATTATAAAGTTTTTCTGCCTTCCGTTCCCGCATGCTCTGTCCAGGAGTGCCCGTGTATCTGCGGAAAAGATAAAAGTGCATGTATTGTTGCGGTGTGAATCCTATCTTGCAGGACGCGGTCTTTTTTTTTTTCGCGTTTGTTTTGTGAATTGTGAGTTCATTTACTCCTAGTGTTTTCCTTTCTCTTCGATGTTATGATTCCGGACTTCCGTTCATAAAATGTGTTCTCTTTTCCCGAACCCCATTCATGTGTTGTAACCGTTTACGCGTGAGAACGAATTTACGCCTCTTGTTTTTTTTTTCTCTCCTTCTATTTTGTTTCATAGAGGTGGGAGTGGCAAGGACATCCGCAAGGGACCCGGATTCCGCGTCTAATCGAAACAAAATTTACGAAAGGTGCACGATCGTCTCGGGTTTCATCGATAATCACCGTGAATTCAATACAGATCTGGTAGAGTTTGAAGCGCTAATGTTAGAAATCCACATTTACCGTTCAGATAAATTTATCCAGGCAAACTCCGGTGGGCTAAGTTCAGACAAAAAAGAAAGGAAAAATGTGCGAAGAAACGAAACCGATAGCTGTCGCACGGTTGCGCAATGCCGGTGGAATAATGCGGTCAGGTACGTGAGGACGTAGGTGCGACGCGGTTAATTCTCATACCCGTCATGGTCGTCGTCGTGGATGCCTCTGACGACCGCTACGAGTGCTCGGTGATCAGTGAAGTGAGCGGGTAAGCGCGGTAGAAGTTTGTAAGACCAGCCAACATTACGCGTAGCAACTACTGTCAAAGCGCGACTTCGCGTAACGCGAGTAATGTTTGAAAACAAGTCTTGCAGCAGACTACACGGAGATCCTCCCTTCTTCGCGCAATTCTTGGCGAAACGCCAGAACTGCCCTCTTCGCTCTATTCGCGCGGCACGGCCGACGGGCCGACCCGACTTCCCTAGCTCTCCTCGCGCCAAGAGGAAAGAAAAACAGTTTTTATATTCTTCACGCGCGCGCCAACGATATTTCTGCAGCTTGTCGTTCATAAAGCTATTTAAAAAAAATGCACTTAATGGCTATGTTTTCCTGCAGCCTGTGGAAATATACAGCAGTGAACGAAAGCACCAGAACGTGCAAACAGTTTACTTGATATATACGTAGGCACCACCTAATGAGGATAGGGGAACGCAATCTTCTCTGTTCAATGATATTTCTTTGATGTCATTTTGACACTCACATGCCAAGATTTGAGATGTAGCCATCTAGTTACGCGAACGTTAGCGAATAAAGTGTACTGTCGCAATCAATATATGGCCTTAAAAAGTCGGTCCGGCCTTTTTCTGCGTCTGTAGTTACCACAAGCTTTATTTTCTCTTTATCTGAAATGGTCCGAAGTCTGGGGCCTCAACTTCTCATTCCATTCCTAGTTCGGACTCAAAAACTGGCCGGTACGCCGAAGAGACGTGAAGGACTGTTTCAGCTCATATTGAAACGATGGTACACCTGCGTTCTACAGCTTCTTTTAGAGCGCAGCTCTTAGGGGCCCGTTCCCGGCTTGAGCGGCGTCGGCGTCGCCGTCGGCGTCGGCGTCGGCGTCGGCGTTGGCGTCGGCGTCGGCGTTGGCGTCGGCGTCGGCGTCGGCGTCGGCGTAACCAAGGTCACCCCAAGGTCACGTGACCTCAAGGTCATCCCAAGGTCACCCCAAGGTCACGTGACACCCCCCAGGTCACGTGACCACCCCCAGGGTCACGTGACCCCCGCCGAGGTCACGTGACCTCCCCGATGACGTCATCGATGACGTCACCGGCATCCGCATCGTCATCGTCATCATCACTGATGACGTCATCAGTGATGATGACGATGACGATGCGGATGCCGGTGACGTCATCAGTGACGTCACTGATGACGTCATCAGTGATGATGACGATGACGATGCGGATGCCGGTGAGGTCATCAGTGACGTCACTGATGACGTCATCAGTGATGATGACGATGACGATGCGGATGCCGGTGACGTCATCAGTGACGATGACGTCATCGGGGAGGTCACGTGACCTCGGCGGGGGTCACGTGACCTGGGGTGTCACGTGACTTCGGGGGGCATCCGCATCGTCATCGTCATCATCACAGATGACGTCATCAGTGACGTCACTGATGACATCATCGGCATGGTCACGTGACTCCCCAAGGTCACGTGACCCCCCCACGTCACTTCACCCCCCAGTACCCTTCCCTCCTCCTCCTCAAGAGCTGCGCTCTAATTCGGTGTTACAGGGAGTTGTAAACGGCTTTCACTTTTTTTTGTCTTGGCTTCGCTCTCGTAACCCGATGTCTCCACAACATTGTACTGTATACACGCGAGAGTCTGCACAACCTTTCTTAACAACCGGAGATAACGTCTGAGTCGAGACACTCGAGGTTCCAGAAACGGCTTTAAAATGGCACAGACTGCTGACTAGGTGGCGCAAGCTGCCTCCCAATTCTAAATGCTGTGCAGCCATTCATCTATTAAGAACTGTTCTGTAGTTGCCCTGGTCGCTTCGGTCTTCTGCTCGTGCGCGAACGAGAGGCAGTGGGCACGTACCGTGTTGGAAGTAGTTTGCTTTCCGCACGTACACGCAGACGAGGGCCATGAGCTGGAGCTGAGAGAGCCTCTGCCTCGTGGACGACGGCAGGGGCAGGAGGTCCCGGAGGTTGGCGATCTCGGCGTTGATCAAGTCCCTGCGTAGCTTGGAGGCGCCCTTGGTTGACTTGTTCGCCTCAAAACTGAAACACCAGAATGCGCGCACAGACTTACTCCTTCGCGTATTTATACCAATTACTCTTAGGTCATTCTATGTCTTAAGAATATGGATATACCCCCCTAACCTTGGCTTTGAGAGGAGGGAACGTTTAGGGTGCGGGTTTTTGACTGTGAGACAATGAGTACTCCTATAACGCATGAGTAGTCCGGTGTGTGCATGGCACTACCAGAACTTGATAAGCGGTACAAAGACGCCAATTTTGTTGAATCAATATCCACACCTCATGTACTGCAGCTTGTAGGGAAGGGTTATTATTGGAGCCTTCATAACATCGGGATCAGTTTGTGATTGTTGTAAATGGATAATAAAGGAATCTTAAAAGCCGTCCAGTGATGACATCATCATCTGGGCTGGCCACTGTCAGCGAATATGGATACCGAAGCCTAGTCGATAGGATTCGTTGGAACATCCAATCGATCCGGCATCGTCCGATTGAAAACCAAGTTAGCAAACAGACGAGAAATGAAACCAGAGACGACACACGAAAAAAAGGGGACAACACTCGTCTCTGACTTTTCTGACTTTCACAAGTGTGTCTTGCCTCTTCTGTTCCGTGTGTTTGCGCTGTACGTTTTAATTGACCACCATGCCTTACGAACAGCCTCCATTTTGAACACAAAACCTTGCGTTGCACGAGGAGTTACGACCCATTCTATTTGAGTCTTGTTACGGGACAGGACAGGACAAAGCATATTTTCAATCGGAAGCTTGAACACAGGACAGGACAGGACAAGAAAGGACGAAACATCTTTCCAACTGACAGCTTGAATACTGGACAAGACAGGTCAAAGGACCAGACGTCTTTCATACTGGTAACTTGAACATAAATGTTCAAGCCGCGCGTTGGAAACATGTTTCGTCCTGTTTTCTTCCCATATGTCGCTTTCCTTTTATCCCTGTAACTTTTACTAGCACGCTCACTATTTATCGAGCGTCTACAGATTGTTCGCAGTGACGTAAATCAGACAAACTACATTACTACTCGGAGAATAAACGCGAGCAGAAAAGTTGCATCCTCCTCGTCTCTTTTTACATTTTTTCAGCGAACCCGCACTTGCGGGTCCGTGGCTCGGTTTATTAACGAAGAAAGCAGCGCGCGTAATGGCGCCCAACGAATGGGATGTGATGTATTAGCTTGTGAACGGATAATAGAGTTACCAGGGGTCTTATATTCATATGCATATAGTAAGGAAGAAACATTTGAGCTGCATTACTGCTTCAATAAAAGTCGTTGGTTGGTCGCAGGAGGTTCGTCCGCAAGAAGTAGACAGTTAGGTTAAAAACAAATATGCTAAATTGTTTTAAATGTGATAGAATGCTTCGTAGACATTAACCAAAAATATCCCTAGAATTAGTACACAGCAATCTTTAAGCTATCTCTCTTTTTCTTTTTCTCTTTTTTAAGGACACGGTAGAGGACGGTGAAAAACTTTATCGCACTTCAACGACAATCTGCGGAGCGGTTTCGGCCACAATTTTTTGTCTTATGTATACGTTTGTTAACTGTATTTTCGTAGGCATGGATACGGGTTTTTGACAGTGAGACAATGACACTCCTACAACACAGTGAGACCAATGACACTCCTATAAATATAAAGGCACGCGTTAGTAGTGTTTTGGGAGGCGTGTTCAATAATTCGGATAATTCTATTTATGCTTCCAAAAGGACGTCTTTTTTTTTTATTTTACGAAATCGTTGACATAACTTTGGGAGGGGAGATGACTATAGATTGAGGCCGCCACTTAAAGACACCCGCAGACCGCGCCAAACGACGCGTTGATGTACTGATGACGGGACGATGATGTGTTTCGGACACATAGAGAGGGATGCACCACATTCCAGGCTACGGAAGAAACCACGTAAAGGCGCAAGAAAGAGAGAGAGAGGAGAACAGCGTTTAAAGAAACGTCTAAACTGCGGCCAAAATGAGCCCATGTACAAAGAAGAACAGAACGTCGCTCGGAAACAGTTTTGCTGAGATACGGACAATAAAATGTAAGTGTTAATGCTTCCATTCTATTCGGAGGAAGGAGAGAGAGAGGGGAGGGGGAGGGGGAGAGTATATCCGGGATTCCGGGTTCTTGCAGCGTTTCTTGTACTCCTCGCGTTTCTGAATGCAGTATTCGGGTTTTTAGATTTAGATTTTCTGTCCTTTTGTGTCGTTTACTCGGTTCATTGATGTCGCCGCACAGCCAACTTTTGCACGCTTTGCGTATATGATCAAAGAAATAAAAATATAAAAGACACGCGTGTAAAAAAAGAAATAAAAAAAGGGGAAGGGGGGTTACTGATCGAGTGTTGAAACAGACATCCGCCAACTTTTTCTGCCAAAACTACGCATCGCAAATAAAATGCTTCGGTGCCGCACTAGTCAGTGCCAAGAAGCCGACGTAATGATGTGCACCCGCGGATAACGTGAGCTGGAACAGCCAATCGTGTATTTTTATGATGCGTCCGCAGTCCCCACAAGCTCTATTATCTATCAACTTGTCAAAAAAGCTTTGAGCTAAAAGTTTGAACCACTGATCACTAATATACTGGAGAGTGCGCCAAAGACACACGAAATAAAATTGCTCATGACGCGATCAAATTTAGAATACAAATACCTGAAAATATAGAGCAATTATTAAACGGCTACTTCGATATGCGATAATAAATCTGAGAGTCAACAATACGTGGTATGTACGTTTGGCCCCCACAGAAAGCGTTAAGCTCTGCTTGTTTGCGCGCGTAAGTAATGCCCCTGTCACCACGCGGCAAAATTAATGTCATTTCCAGCGGTTGGAATTCGCCCCGAATCTCATTTGTTAGCCGTCACACGGGAACATTTAATGACATTAACTGAAAATTACATTCGCTGCCGAATGGGTTCGGGAAAACTCGTTCGCAGTTGCTCTCGGACGAAGTGAGGAATCTCGACGGCAGAGACGCAGTGAAGAGCAGATACGGGGAAATTGTATATTACAAAACGGAACAAACAAAATGTTGTTATTTATCATCATCATCATCATTTATTAAAACCTTGAAGGCCATTGCTGGCATTACACAAGGTGGGTGTAACTGCTGAAGAAACATATAAAGGAACAAACAAAAAAGTGGGTTACATGCTGGAAAACATTGTTATATAAAGCAGCAAAAACAGAAAAAAAAAAGAAAACACTTAAAACATTTTTAGGGAAAAACAGCTAATGAAACAGAAAAATACCCAAATAAAACATTTCTATAAACACGAGTTGACTTTGCTATTAGTGTAAATGCAGATGGATGGTCAGTTGGGATATGAAAGTATTATAATCTGTCTATATGAAAGTATTATAATCTGTATTATAATCTGTCTTACTTTTTTTTTTTGTATTTAGAGGTTTTACATTCGAGAAGATCTACCTTAATATAAATGCAGGATCTATTTTATTTTTTTCCATTATGATTTTGTGCACAAAATTCAGACAACAGTCTCAACCCCCCCCCCCCCCCCCCCCCCCCCCCAGGGGCCATTTTGCTTCCATTTAAAAAAAAAGTGGCGTCAAATTCGAAGTAGACCGCGCAAGGTAAAGCAACATAATACCATCCACATTAAAAACTGGATACTATTACAAGCAAATAATGCCAAAAACATTTTCAACATCTACACTACGTTATGTTTTCTTCAGAACGGTGCCTGAATAATTTGCTATATCGGTGTATTAGAATAAGCTTTATCGAGACGTTTAAATGCATCAAAATATTGCGCATCGCGTAGTTCAAGATTAACCTTTATGACCAGAATGACACTGGCTGTTGCATCAATTTTTGCGTGCGACTGGAATATAAAACTTATAACGATCCAGGATTTCTTCTTTATTTTTTTTTTTAATTGAAGATATACATTTGGAATACACTGAAAGTTTAATTTATTTCAACTTTCAGTTCTCGCTGTTGTTGTGCTTCACTCGAAATGACATATTTATGTAGCCACGAGTATCTCTATTAGAAACTAAGCCTTAATGAAATGTGTAAATAAATATATATATGTTCGGAATAAAAGAAGTAATCAAAATAGAGCCGACAGCTATAATGGAAACCGCGCATACATAGGTGCTCGACTGTGTTTATTTTGTTTTGTTCTTACACTACTAAAACGTATTTCTTTTTTTTTTTTTTCGAAAACTGTGCGAAAGTCGCCACGCGGATGAATGCAGACTTTCCCTGAGCGATACACGATCTATAAAATCTTAAAAAATAACTATAAAAAACATATTACGCGTCCAAGGTGCGCGGCGTAGATTAAGCGTTCCTACGCTAAAACATCAACTTTTTTTTTCGTGAGAAATACACGCATTATCGGAGATGTTTCATCGTGTTCCAATCTTCTTGTTTCTGTGTTGCGCGTGAATGTCCGCCAACAACACTTCTGAACAGTGTGCGTACAAAAGCGCTTCTGTCCGCGTTCATTCGGGTGTGAAGTGCGCCCTTGCTTTACACACGCGAAGCGATTACACATAGCCCAGACTCGTGAGTCGGCATTCTCAAAGACAGTAAAATTCTATAAAAATATATAAAAGCTCCATGGTATGCTGTATATGCACATACAAAAAAGCGTAGCCAGTCGAAAAAAACTAAAAATATATGTAAATTACCCCAAAAAAACAGAAAAAAATATTTTTTTCTTGTCCTCTTTGGTTCCCTCTCCCCCCCCCCCCCCCCCCCCCAAAGAAAAATATATATATATATATAAAATAAATAAAACTACAAGGATATTTAGAAGGTACTCGACCATTGTCGAATTGCTCATTCGTGTCCATACCTTCAACGCCGAAACAAAATAATAAAATAAAATTGCAACGCAGCGATACCAAAATAAGAACTGAACCACGAATGTTGTTTTTAAGTTGATTCGCTGTAGTTTCTTCTATTGTGAAGTTTTAGCGCGCTTCAAAAACGGAGAGAACACGGAAGTTCTGTTTTTTTTTTTTTTAGTTTTCTTTTGTTGTTGTTGTTGTGGTTTGCTAATGTTTCTTAACGTGCGCAAATCGGACTCAATACGCAACGTTTTTGTCGCTCCAACCGTTTTATGGAGAGCGGGGTTCGAATCAGTTCAACACTATAAACGCGAAAAAATATTTATTATTTATCTAACAACAGAAAAACAACAAACGCA